ATGCAAGAAATTCAAGCCGGCTCTTGATGAGGCAGAGCACACTGTGCTTTCCTACATGGATATTACAATATTCTCTTTACTGTATGGGTTGTTTCCTTTTTTCTGCTAGATTAGTTAAACAGGGATTGGAAACACCAGACTGACATTTTATTGTCAGTCTATGAAATAGAATTGTACTGAGAAACCCTTATTGGTCTCATTAAACTCTATTACTCACACAGATTAATTCTTTTAGCTGTAAGGACTAAGTACAAAATAAGTGATGAAATATTGAATTTACGTGTGTGTGTGTGTATGTGTGCACATACACAGCTCAGATACTGACCTGCACATGTGCACTACAATTTCTARTCTTGCAGAGGTGATTGTCGAATTTTTAATGCTACCTTTTCCAGGCCCAAAGAGTCTGGTGGCCCAAATCCATAGGTGTTTTCCATGAATATTTCTACATTGCAATGAAATGCTGTCTCTCCTTCCCCCATATGTAGTATGTATATATCCCATACTTTCCCTGATGATTCTTGAAGCTGGTAAAGGTTTTCTTAGTGTAAAATCTTTCCTCTATTTTTACACCCTTCATTTCTGTACTTCTTTTGTGTACTTCACTTTTGTGAATCCTCTTTCAAGAATTGTGTCATGGTCTTTTCCTTTCTTTCTGGCTTTTCCTCTATATGTATTAAGCGAGGCATGTTGTTTGTTATGTTAAAAATGCAGGTTGAAAAAAACATTGGGTTTGCTTCTCTTTAATCACTAAAGAATTCTAATGCTCAGTTCACTCATTTATGGATGCTTTAAAATCTGGTCACAGTTCTTATGTTGTACSCAAAGCCTCACTGGACTGCAGAGGGGGCAGAAGAACCAAGTTTGATTTAAGTGATGTATTTTGAAAGGATTTTAGGACACAAGTTCACAAGGCTTATTTTTGCAGAGTAGGATCAATGATAGCAGGAGATATGGGCTCAGCTGGGCATCTACAAGTTTTGCATGTGTGTGATTAACAATAACACTTCACAGTTTATAAACTCCATATTTAGAAGGCACATGTTGTGGCAGGGATTTATGAGTCCGTGATGAAAACATTGGTAGTGTTGGAAGAGAGCAGGGCAGCATGGAGCAATGTATCACTGGGGCTTTTCTTTGTTTGACTTAGTCAGAGAAAATAAGAAAATCAATTTGTGTCATGGCAGAAGAGTTCAGCCTCTTCCACCCTATTTTCACTCACATGGTKTAATACTTGACTCTAGAATAGCCCTACTGGGGAGCCAGAGAACTATTTGGACATTAAATTGTTATCCTACTTGGATGGAGGTAGCAGCCTAGCCCATGGGGTTTTATAGCTTCCTTCTCAGATCTAGTTTGCTTTCCTGTTTGTCTTCATTCATACCAGGCTCAGTAGGTGACCTTTTCTGCAGCCAATTTTCACATCTGTTTCTRAGCAATTCAGTCCTGGACAGACTAGTTCAGATATTCAGAGAAGAAACTGCCTTAACGGGGGTGGGAGAATGGCCAGCTGGAATGTTGGCAATGACTAAAAACCCCAAAGAAGGCACCTGAACAAATGGTGGCCACCTGACCTGGAATTTGGGCAGAAGAGGTATTTTCAGGAACGAGAGAATTGCCATGAACATACAGGAACCATTCCCCCTCGGTGACTGTCTGGGGAGTGAGAACTATGCTCATAGTCACTGAGCAGTCCTACAGGCCCTCCTCAATTTTCTCTTCTTGCTGGATGCACAGAAAATGAAGACTCCTAAAGGAGTGTTTTTCCATCTGTGTCTAAGCAGATGTTTAAAAACAGCTGAGCAACTGAGAGTTTCTAAAAACCTGGTGCTTTTGCAAAGCAATTTTTGTTCTTTAACCTAATAAAACTATTTTTTTTTCAATAACTTTATGTACCTTGCTATGGCACTTCATGGATTACAAAGGCTGCTAGTCTCTCATCTTCCAGTAGCATTCCTCAGGGCAAGGGAGCCCTAAAATCCTTTGGTCAGGTTTAAGAATTTACTATTGAACTTTCATGTTCCGAAATTTCCTCTTTCTCTGTTTAGTGAGGACTGTCCTCGAGTCTTCTTCCTGTACTGTTAAGGTATCATTCCTAAGTGGGAATTTGTGATGGAGAGAGGTGTCTGTGAAGGCCCAGGGATCTCATCATCTCCAGAACAAGGCGTCCAAGTTTGCTTTGCTGGTTTTCCTCATCCACCGTAATAGTGAAAGAAATGCAAAGAATTCTGCAGGGAAAAGAAACAGGAAAAGAGTATTAGGAAGGTGATTAAGAAGAAGGAATCTGGACTCAAATTAAGAAAAAGAAAAGAGCTTAAGGTGACTGTAGAGGTGGAAGGTGAATGAAATTAATACCAGGTGGTGCCGTTTTATTTTCTTCCTTTATTGGGGATTTTACTCTGTACTGTAGTGTTTGCAATGGGAAAATGAGAAAAAAGTCATGGTCCTTGTGGTTCTTCCTGYACCACTTCTGTCAGAACAAGGTAGTTCAGCATGAATGTGATTTTTTGTAAGTAAAAATAAAAATAGATATAAAAACTAGAAATGTTTCCTTGGCACAATGAAAACTACAAAACCAAAGGAAATAATGTTTTATGTCATTTGAAAAGATTTCATTTGAACTGTTTCATGTTCAAGCTTTTATCATTCATCTACATTTCATTTAAAATTAATGAAACAGTTCTTTAAAAAGTAAAAATGGGATGTTTTACTAGGTCTAACGTTTTATTACTATATGCTGACAAAGGATATTTAACAATTTGATCTGAAATCTCCAGAAGTTTCTCCAAATAATTAATTTTTTAGTATGTTCCTAGTTTTTCATAAGAGCAAAATGTGCCCAGTTTTCACCTTCAACCTTTAATAATTTAACTCAGATTCTTGTTGTGGTTCTTTTGCCATGCAACAACCTTCCTTTGCATACAAAAATTCAATAAACTATTGCTGGATCATTAAAATAACCTGTTAAATTTCCTTAAGCCCATGTTGTGAATCTGAGCCCCTAGGCTCATTGAAATAATGGCAATAATCTTTCCCATTTAGGTAGTCTCTTCCATCTGAGAATGTCAAGATGTTTTACCTAAAATAATGAATGTTCACTGGAAGGCAAAATTGTACCTTCTTCCCCTTTTCTACTGTGATGATGAAAATTTGCCAATTTTAATTTTTGTTTAATTGATTTTTTTTCTAATTGTGGTTTGGTTTAAATTTTTTTTTTTTTTTTTTTTTTTTTTTTTTTTTTTTTTTTTTTTTTTTTTTNACAACCCTCTGAAATTTAAATTGTTTTTGTGGGAACTTGACCTTAAGCAGCAGGGCTGACTTTCCTCATCTCATGGGTTGAAGCCAGCCCACAAAGGATGCCAGGGATACCAACTGATCTCTGTCCCAGAAATGTAAAGTAAAGCCCTAATAATCCTCCTTAGGTCAGTCTTCAAAGAATACTAACAAGGGAAACTTCATATTTTTAATTTGTAAGTTGGCATTTCTGCTGTGCAGAGGTGAAGCTGTTTGAGCAAGTAAAGCCCATTAACTTGACTGCACATAAATACAGGCCCTTCAGTCCAAGCCATCTGAACCTATTGCCAGGTAAAAGGCTATGCCTAATTCCTGCTTTTGAACCCCAAATGCCCCAATTTCACTGAATCAATGATGTATGTMCCTTTGATCAGAATGGGCATGCCCATTTTCAAGAATTCATGGACTCAGTATAAAAGGGTCACAGAATGGTTTGGGCTGAAAGGGACTTTAAAGGTTATCTAATTCTAACTCCCTGCCACAGACAGGGATGCCCCTCACTGGGGCACTCAGGTTACTCAGAGCCCCATCCAGCCTGGCCTTGGACACTTCCAGAGATGGGGCAGCCACAACTTCTCTGGGCAACCTGTGCCAGGGCCTCATCATCCTCATGGCAAAGAATTTCTTCCTRATATCTAACCAAAAATCTCCTCTTTTGTTTTAAAAACCATCCTCCCTTGTCCTACCACTACCTGCCCATGTAAAAAGTCACTTTCCCTCTTTTTGTAAGCCTCCTTTAGATACTGAAAGGTGATATAAGTCTCCCTGGAGCCTTATCTTCTCCTGGCTGAACAATCTCAATTCTCTCAGATTGTCTCCATAGGAGAGGTGCTCCTATGAGTATCTTGTGCCAGTTGAACTGTTATTCCAGTTTGGAATCATGCATCCATTTTCTTATTTATGACTGTTTCTTGGAGAGCTTTGAATTCTTTCATTTTGATTTGATCATCTGCCTATTATTACCTTCCTCAAAGAAATAATCCTGCAATGCCAATTCATGACAGTAAAAGCCTCTGCTTCAAAGCTGAACTAATCCCTGTGTTCATTTGTTTGCAGATTATGCTGACATTTTCAGCAGTGTTTGGTGTCATTGTGTACAGAATCACTACAGCAGCAGCCTTGTCCTTCAGCACAAATGAGACAACCAGGTCCAACGCTCGAGTGACKGTGACTGCCACTGCTGTCATCATAAACCTCGTGGTGGTCCTTATTCTTGATGAAATTTATGGAGCTGTGGCCAAATGGCTGACAGAAATTGGTAAAACCCTCTCACCACATTCCTCAGTAATCCATGTATTGACACCAGGGGGTGCAAGGAGGGTCCAGTAGGAATATTTCTTCCTGGCCAGTGCCACTGCAAACATTCAGGCCTATGAATATACCTCTTTATAGCTAAGAGMTGCAAAAAGTCAGTGAGTTAAAGATATTGATGGCCCTGACAAAGCTGCAATGGCAATTATTTACCATGTTGTTTCTCTGATGAAAGTTTTAACCATTTTCTTACCACTCAAATTTTTATTCCATTTTAGAAGCATGTCTGGGCTGGACTTTTTAATAATGATTTCTGTTACAGTTAGTGGTTGGACTTTTGAAATTTATTTTAAATATCAAAATATTGCAAGCCGGGCTACTTATTTAAGTATTTTAAAGGCAAGTAATTTCTTTGAGTACTATAGCGATTTAGGCCTAAACACTTTACTGTTTTGTTATATACATTAGGCTAAAGAGATTTATTAATAGGTGTTTATACTGAGGCTTCGTTTYGTTTTATAAATAAGACCTAGGATGTTGATGGATAAGGCCTTTACACTAGGTTAYTCTGAAGACTTCTGTTTCATCTCAATTTCTCAGAACACTTTAAAATTCACAAATGAAAATGTCTCTTTCAGTCCTATTTTTGGAACAAGTTTACAAGCTACAGTTTTGTAGCTGTCGTAATAGAGGTCCAATCCTGAATTTCTGAGATGTGGTCCTGTGGTTTTACCACTWGGGATAGCCTGTTAGTTTAGATTAAATTCCTGAAGTATTTGAAAGAAATGAAGACAAAGCAATTCATTTTCACAAACTGCCGCTTTACTGGGTTAATTTGTTTGTTTCTGTTTTGCACCAGGCTTTGGGCAGATTGTTAACAGGGTTAACACAAATGGACTCTGTTCTAGTGGCATAAACGAGCTCAAGCTCACTCTCCAGGCCAAAATTATACCCAGATTTTCAGCTTTTGCATAAGTGACAGGAACACAGCTGTGTGTGACCTGATCAATTCTGTCRACTGTGCCTGCCCAAGTAAGAAAGGGCACAAATGCTGAGGGATGACACAGCGGTGTGGAAAGAGTAGGAAAAGGTGAAGGTGAGACTCCTCCAGCAGTTTCTAGGCAGAAGCTGGGAAGTGCAAGCCTCTGCCATGACCTCTCTTGGGAAGCACAGAAGGAAAATCTCTCCCTTTGAAATGTGCACCAGGCTGAACTGTGAAAGAAACAACAATTTCTTACTTGCTGATTATTGTCCTCCTGCCACTTTTCATTTAATTCTAATCCTATCTTTTTTTTTAGGGCAGCATTCCTAATCAGCTATCAGATGTTTTGTTTAAGAAGGATCCAGTCAGAATAATCTCTAGTGCTACAAATTACAAGTTAGAAAGTTCACTCAGGGAGCTTTCTCCAGTGCTAGACTCAAATGTCAAATGTAATCAAGATTTTTTTAAAATTACAATTCATGCATACTGATAAATTCTGCCTAACTTGTGAACTCTCATTTTGCTAAGAGGAGCAAAACATATCTCAATTCTCTTTTCACAGTGCAGTTAATTCACAAGATGAAGAACACATTTTTGGGCTGGAGGAGTAGCTCTTGACAGCATAAGTTTCTACTCCAACCCTAAACACACTTGAATCTCTGTTCAGGTGAAAAATTACATCTGTAAGCACAAGAATAACACTGATAACAATTGTATTAATCATAGGATCACAATCATGGGAATGCCTCAATACCTTCTCAATCAGTGCCTGGAGGAAAAGAGTGGGAGTTTTGTTGTAATCAACACGGAGAGCTTGTAAAGGACTCCTGGGGGCCCAGCAGAGGAGGGCACTGATACCATTTTATCATAGATGAGACCAGCCAAAGTGCAGATGGTATCCTGCTATTTCAGGATAGGAGGTCATCCTACTCTTGCCAGGAAAAATAGGTCATCTTCAGTAGGCAGGTGTCTTTCTTGAGCAGACAATTCTTACAGCTCACTTGTAAATCAGAATCATGGACTTGTTTGGGTTTGAAGGGACCTTAAATTTCTCATTCCATCCTCCTGCCACATGCAGGGACACCTTCCACTATCCCAGTTTGCTCAGAGCCCCATCCAACCTGACCTTGGACACTTCCAGGGAKGGAGCAGCCRCAGTTTCTGTRGGCAACCTGTGCCAGGGCCTCCCCACCCTCACAGGGAGGAATTCAGTGAGGCCGGGGAAGAACCAGTGAAACAGGGACAAAATCAAAATTAYTCATGTTTGTCCTTTGTAAAGGCAGCAGCTCCTTCAGTGAGCTAAGGTCCATCCCACCCTGAGCTCAGCTCATGCTCCATCTGGAAAGTTCCAGCTGCCCAATTTTGGCATAACAAACCCAGCACTGAGAGGTTCATTTTTTTGGATGAGGGAGTTTTCTCTGTTACTAATGCACCTATTCTGGCTGAATGCATTTCTCATGCAGCACATCCGATGAGCTGGAGGACAAATTCTACACGTGCCTCTACAGCTATGGTATAGGGTGTCTGAAGGACACTCTGGGACAATATATGGTGTGCAAATGTTCATCCAGAGGCTGAGCTCATCGTCAGGGGTGGTTTCTGTAAGGCAGAGTTTAGGATTTTTCTCCCTCAAATGAAAAGCTGCACYGCTGTTATTCCTGCTGCCCTGAGTTATTGTCCTGTGGATCCATTCAGTGTTTGGGATCACCTACAAATTGTTTGACAGTTTAATTAAGCTTTTTCATACATATAGATGAGTTATGCCTTAGGGCTCACCAGGTTGAGCTCTGACCTTTTATGAGAAGGTGGTTGAAAGTATCACAAATAAAGCCAGGCAACCAGGGCTTATAAAGCTTTGCTATTCCTTTAGTGCTAAAAAAAAAAAAAATGCTGCTTTCTTAAGAAAAAAAAATCACGAAACAACAGCAAGCAAACAACACCCAAACTTTGCCCAAAACAAAACTGTACTGAAGTCCCTAAAGCCAGAGCTCTGGATCTCCTTGTTGTTCCACACTTCTGTTGTGCCACAGAAGTTCACCCAAGAATGATAAATTTAATCACAAAATTAACTTCTCTCACTTTAGATGCAGCTCAGGATGAGCATGAAAACATAAGGGTTTCACCCATATAAAAATCTTTAAAATAGGATCCTACTGTCAGTTTGAAAAGCCTCTGTCTTATRCATACGTGTTCTGCTGCTAGAAAATTTCCATGAAAATTGAAAATAACCTTGGAACAGAGTAATGAATACTGAAAATATTTAAACCACATTTTTGCTAGTTATCTAAAGAAATCTTAAAATATAGAATATATCTAGTGAAGGGAGGTGTTAGGAAAAATATGCCTTTATTTTAAACACATTTTGGCCTAATACCTTATTCAAAAATGGATTTAGTCTTGTGTTTAGCATCAAGCATGTCAACAACCTCATCACAGAAAGGAGGCTTGTGGTCTACAAGTTAAGGATGCTTTTAAGGTGTTTTTTTCTGGTTGAAAATCCTTGCACTTTGCTTTCAGCATTCCTGAATTGAGAATATTAAAGTTTAAAAATTAAATTTAAAAAAAAAATTAAAATTATAACTGTTATTTCAGTTATGTAACTGATATACTTATTAATGTTAATGTACATGTACACAGCAAAGTAATTTATACTGCTTGTGCTGTATGGAATTGAATATCTCTGAAAATCAGGACTCGGTGACAGGCCTAGTGGGCTTTGGTACGAATTAGAGGTACAAAAGAAAAATYAGTATGAGCCCAAAGTTTGAAGTTTGGTCTGGTGTTTTTGTGTGTGTTTGGAGAATAAGGGATTTTTGCAGATTTACTAATTCAGTTTTCTTATTTGTTTTTTTCCCTCCAGAAATTCCAAAAACAGAGAAAACCTTTGAGGAGAGAGTGGTTTTGAAAGCATTCCTACTGAAGTTTGTGAATTCTTATGCATCAATTTTTTATGTTGCCTTTTTTAAAGGAAGGTAGAATAAATATACATTGCATATAGATTGTTACTTAGATATTTTTTACACAGTTATTACTCATTTTTATATATGTGTCTATATTAGTGGATCTGTGTTTAAAAATGAACATGAAGGCCTGGGACAGGTCAGCTTTGAAAAAATGTCATTGACAGGGTTATCTAAAATTAATAATTCCTTTTGGTTCAAAAAAGGGTGGTTTTTTAGTGAATGGTGGTGCTTGCAGGCCTTCGCATTCAACAAAGAAAGGTTTTCCTATTTCATTTAAATGGTGGAACTCTTTTTTCTGTTACTTTCTCATCATTTGCACTRTGCTCCCATATCAAGTTAAATTAAGAAATAGTTACAGTCAACTGGCAAAGGAAGTGATTGACCRAAAAGCTAATTCAGCTGTCCTGCTAAATAAGTGTGACTTCCTATGTGCTCAGGATCCTTGTCTTTTGGGATCCAGTCATCCACATGCTTTCGAATGGAAAGCTTAAAATGATTGTTTCCTAAAACTTTGGCAAAAAATGTCTTTCAAACATCCTCTGGATTGTGTTTCCTACCATTTTGCTCTTCTTTTGGGAGCTGTAAAGTTTGTTAATCTCTGCTCTTCACTAATCCTATCCAGCACCTTTGATTTGAGGATTAATGATTCCTTTTTGTCAGTGGTTGCAAATATTGCAAGACGCCAACGAAAAATGTCACCAAATTCTTTCATTTTTGACCATATTTTTGTGTTGTATGGTTATAATAAAATCARTATTACTGTTTCTCCTGGTGTAGCCAGAGGAGTTTTGATTGTGTATAGATGTATAAATAATTCCACTCAGGGCATTACTCAAATATAAGAGAATGTGAATTAGGATATATGTCCCCAGTTTCATGAGATCTCTAATCAAAGAAGGGGGTTTATTCTTGTTTTGTTTTAGCACAGAAAAAATATTTTATTAAAATTATTTTATCCAGATGTAGTAGAAAACCATTTGCAGAGGGCTATTGCCTTGAAATAATTTTAAATAATCAAAGCTGAATGGGTGCCCACTCTTTGAAAATTCATGTTGAAAAAGCTACTTCTGAAATATTTTGGCTAATATGAATGAACAATCTTGATTTTGAGGTTAAGTTATTTTTGTGCTTTCATACTAAATCATGGTGTCAAAATTAGCTTATTTTTCTATTTTTATACTAGTTTATGTATTATTATTATTATTGCTTTCAGGTTTGTTGGCCGTCCTGGTCGTTATGTGTACGTGTTCGAAGGGTATAGGATGGAAGAGGTAAGTACCTATCAAAATGACCAAATCAAAATGACCAAAAAAATCCTTTACAAAAAGAAATATGTCTACCTTGCTTAGTGGATACAGGCAACAGGGAAAAAATAGAAAACACGTTAAAACAAGASGTTAAATCTTAAATAGACAAAACCCAAGATTTCCATCGAAGGCAACTTTTTGGTGTTTTGACATTTAATGGTCTTTCTTAGGTGAAGCTTCACCATTTCTATACTTTGCAGTTAGGCACCAAGGCACAAACATTCCATGATTTGGTTGAGGCCCTTGGGACATGTGAATCTGGCTTCTCATTCTGCAGATCACTGGAAGCTTGGCAATTTTAATAGCTTAAAAACCTAGAACCATTTTGTGCTAGACCTGTAAAAATCTTTTTTTTTTTCTTTTTTTTAACCAAACTCCCTCATGAAAGGGAATGCTGTGGGTATTCCCTTGAAAACTGATGGATGTACTCAAGRTTTGTCAATAAAGCAGACATAAAAGATTGAAGGTTTCCTTCCCCCCTGGGAGACATCAGATTGGAAGAGTATTGGTGATACTGCATTATGTTTATTACATTGATTATGTAGTAAATATTTTTAAATGGAATATAGGAGCCCCGGGGCACGGTGAGTTATTTCAGAGCTCCGTGTATTTTCCATAATGTGGTTTTATGAGTGGAGATGAAATACCTTGTCAAGCAGAGATTTGCAGTGATCTGTGAGCTCCATGATCCCACACAAATTGGGGGCAAGGACAGTGGACATATGGAGACACTGGGAGCTCTCCCAAGTGGGTATTTTTATATTAATTCTCTTAATCCCGTGATGCTCTCTGGTTTTGTTTGATTGCAGTGTGCTCCAGGAGGGTGTCTGATGGAACTCTGCATTCAGCTGAGCATCATCATGCTTGGAAAACAACTGATCCAAAACAATCTGTTTGAAATTGGAATCCCGTAGGTATCCCAGCCTTTTCCATTATGCATTATTCCTATGGCACAGTAAATCAAAGGCTTGATCCTTTTTCAGCTAAATGGGACTTTTGCTATTGCCTTCAGTGGGTTCTAATTGAATGTGATGATAATTGGTTGTGGTGAAATGATCTGGTTGTATTTTATGTTGAATAATTGGCTATATCTTCACTAAATGGCTTAAAGAAAGTAAAGGAATAYATGAAATAATTGATTTAAATTAATTTTAGAAACCTGGGAAAACAGGCAAGGTATGATAGATCTCCTGGGAAGTTTTAGAAAAGCTTTCAGGACAGCACTATTGAATACAAATTARCACAAAGTGGATGAGGGATAGCGTGGGGGAGGGCAATAGCCCATAAAAGACGTTAAAATCTATTACTTGATCTACGACTATTTTATGGGTTTAGGGATGAAATCTGCATGTTTCCAAGGTGCCTTTATGTCAGTGTGTGATGATGCAGGAGCTGGAGCATGGCAGAGACACTGACACACTGCTCAATCTGCCACGGGCTGCTTTAGTGCTCAAATAGAGCAGGAAAACTCTCCCTGTCTGTCACCMGCACCAAGGGGATCTTCAGGCACTGGGAATCCACTGAGAATGTCTTGCTCCTGCCCCTTGGGAGGTTTGCTTCATGGTGGCAGTGGCCTGTGAAATGTTGGAGATGAAGAGTCTGGTTTAGACATCTCAGCTCCATTGAAATGAGGCAGAAWCTTTCAATTCTGGTGTCAGCAGCTTTTAGGTCCAATCTGTGCATCATTAAGATGCTAACTAGAATTCAAGATAAGGGATTCTTACAAGAGAAGAAATATATTTCATATGAGCCCTTTTCCTCCTTTTCTCAACAAGAACCCTTTTTTTTTTTCCTTCTTGCAAGGAATTTAAATAGAAAAAAAAAATCCCAAACAAATCAGATGTGGATTATGGATGGTTTCATTATTCTTGTGTCAAAGTTCAAYAGGGAGGCCTGTTTTCTGTCTGCATCTCATTGAGTTTACATTTTATTTTGAGCAAAGGGTGGTAAATCATTCCCAAAATATCTGACATGTTGAAGGCTTAAAGCTTTCTCAKTGTAAACCTGCTGTAATTTGTTTCTTGTCTTCCAAAAACTTACTGCTACTGGACTTTTTTAATGGGGATTTTATGATGTTACAAATACTGTATTTATTATTTTTGACTCATGAAAGCATGGGCTGATCCAGTCCAAACAGAAAGTCATGTCCAATTATTTTTCATTTCCCTCTCTTTGGTGCAAGAATGCAACAATTTCATCCCATTTTTCTCCCTCAGATCTGCTCCCCCACCCTTCAGCCAACAAACTGTGGTGGCCTCAATTTTTAAAACTGTTTAAAAACAAACATATTTTGATCCACTCCTTCCCAGATAAAGAACTCATTTCACTCACAGTGCTATTTTATCATCCTGGAATAAATATATCTGCTTTTCCTTTGCTTGTTTGCATTCCTGAGAAAATCATGTGTGTATCTGTAGGGCTTGGCCCTTCTTCCTGGACCCATTTGCACCAGGAGAATCACTGAACACATAATGAAATCAGACTTAGCYTTCTATTCCTGCATGGACCACTCTACCTGTTTGGCTACATCCTGAATGGTACCAGCAGTTGATTTTTCATCCCCCCCTTGCCTTGTGTGTCTTTGGAAGGAATGAGAGCTGGAGGGAATAACAGATTCTTCCATTATGTCCCTGTGTTTTCACTGAGGGCAGAGTCCAGGTGCTGCCACCAACCTTCTCCATATGGAGAATCAGAAGGGAATATCAAAATGGTGATTTGGTCCTCAGAATCTGGTGCCGTCCCCTTCACGTCTGTAACATGGAAGTACATCTCTGCTGAGTTATATGATGGCTCATATTGAAAGGGTTTTCTTCTTTATTGAAATCTCAGATGTCAAGACATTTTCAGGAAACCTTTTGATTTCATTCACCAGAAAATCCAAGGCATTTTAATTGCTTTGCAGAAGATCACAAAACTGTCCCATTTGCTCTCTCTTCCCTCTCATAAAATGCTGCTAAGTAGATGGTAGAGTGAGTTTGCAAGCAACAGTCATCCTTTATGTTTCTAGAACCCCAAATGTTGCTAGCATTGAGAAGCATCTTTCAACGTCWTCATTCTGCTTTATCCATGATCAGTGCTGAAAAAACTTCACCTGGCAGCCCTGCATTTTTTGGGGGTCATGGGGGACATATCCTTGCTTTTTCCTGCAATGTTTCTGTAGAAACTGCTGGTATGGCTATGATAGATGTGACTTACTTGTCTCCTAAACCTTCCAGTGATTCTTTTTTTTTTTTTTAAGTTTTTAATTAATAATGCATCCAGCAATAGCAAACCAGCTAAGAAAATGCAACAAGAATTGATTTCTAGAAAATGAACCCTCCTTGAACCGAAATGTGTTTTCTATGGGGTTGGAATTCACTAGTTTAACAGATGTAAATATGCCACAGTTCACTCAAATGTGTCACATACCATCATTCTTTTACTGTTGCCACAGGAATTGACCCTAAAAGGCTGCAGGGCCTGAAAGCCTTAACCCACAATTTCTTTAAGACCCCTTTTATTCAGTTCTTTTTTTTTTTTCTGAACTTATCAAAAAAAACATCCATGTGGTTATTTTATTACTGTCTGACCTTGGTGCTAAACCCTTAGGGTAAAATCCTGGCCCTATTGAAGTGAACAGCAAAACTCCTATTGAATTTAGGGAGGGCATGATTTTGGCCTTTTGATTCAGCATCAATTTCCATCACTTACTTCAAAATGCACTTAACTATGCTGGGTGAGAATACCAAGAGTTAATAAAATCCATTTAAAGACACCCCTTCATAGCTATTATCTCTCAAGTTGTTTTTCACTCTTAGCAAATTATTCTTAATTAAAGGTTTGGAGGGGTTTTGCATTTTTTTTTCCTTTCCTTTTTTTGGTTGTAGTTTTTTTCTGATTGRGAAACCAATAAGCCCCACACACAATTGAAACTCCCTTACAATTCAGGAAGTCTGTGTGCCAAGGAAGCATGGCTATACTATAAATTTGTGAAACAGAAGAAAAGGTTTAGATATTTTTGTTGTCCCCCTGCCTCCTTCTTGCATCTGTAAATATGAGTAACTTTTTTTGTGTGTGAGCAGACTGTAGGAATATGATAGAAGAAAAGCCTGGTTCTTCAGTGTTCCTTCCCAAAAGCAGGAAAAGGAATTACAGGAAGAACACATGAGTCTGGGTCACTGCTCTCCTCTCTAAGTGCTCCAGCTGCTCAACCTAATAATTTTTTCTGTTTACCTTTCTCCCTGAACCTCTTTCTATCATGCTAAAACTCATAAAGTATCACCTGGAAGGAGAGCCCTAAAAACTCCATCTGATATAAACCAAGGCTTTGTTCCTGGCAGATGGATTCTGGGGGTGTTCTGTCTTTTCATGTAAAGCCTCCACATGCATCTCTGTTCAAACARATATTCATAGATTCATGCAATCACAGAATGGCCTGGGTTGGAAGGGACCTGAAAGATTATCTCATTCCAATCCCCCTGCCATGGGCAGGGACACCTTCCACTATCCCAGGTTGCTCAGAGCCCCATCCAGCCTGGTCTTGGGCACTGCCAGGGATGGAACAGCCACAGCTTCTCTGGGCAACCTCTGCCAGGGCCTCACCATCCCCACAGGAAAAGTTTCTTCTCAATATCCAACCTAACTCTGCTTTGTGTCAGTGTGAAGCCRTTCCCCCTTGTCCTGTCACTGCTTGTCAATAGCCTTTTTCCATCTTTCCTGTAGCTTCCATCTTCCTTCAGGCACTGGAAGGTTCAATTATGTCACCTTGGAGCCTTCTTTTCTCCAGGCTGGACAATCCCAGTTGTACAACCCTGAATACACAAGCATTATTGCCAACAAAGTAATTTTCCTGCATCTGTCCTCTTGCAACCTGCCCTCCAGATGCTCCACCTCTCCAGCCTCTATCCATATCCATTCCAATAAATTTCTGATTTTTCCCAGGCTTTCATCATTTCTTTACCCCAGTTCTCCCGAATCCAGCTGCTCCTTCTTAAGGCATAAATAGAGGAACTGTTGAATCATCTCTGATTTTTGAAAATGAGCATTCAACTAATCACCATTTGCTTACAGCCCAGCCAGGACTACTTGGAGCTTGATTTCTCTCTTTTCATTATATTCTTCCTCATAAGCTCAAGGGTTATTGACAGGTGGTGCTGTCATGATTTTATGCTCACTTCTGCTGCTTGTTAACATCAATAATGCAATGCTTATTGGTTATACYGGGAATTACAATCAGCAGAATTCAACCATGTTCCCACCTCTTACCTAAAAYAATAATTCGGTGCCAATACCCTGTGAGAAGCTGCAATGTCACTTTTGACTGCTCTAGACATAGCCTGACAAAAACACTTTCATTTTCTTTCCCTCTCATCCTGCATTCATTCTTCTCACATGCTGTTCAATCTCCTTAAGGATGCACCTTGCTTTTTGATATTCCCTGGCAAAAGCACCAGAAATAGTGGCTATTTTACAGCTCCGCAGTTTTCCCTCTTTGCCCAGATTTGTGTGGAATCATGAAACTTTGCTGCATGAGCCTCTTCAGCACAAAACTTCTGGGACACTCATCCTGAACAGGTGAACCTACTGCTTCCTCACTGTGGGGGGCTGCCTGGCATGAACGAATCAGAAGCTAAAAGAACTCCTTTTCTCTCAATCTTCTTTAAAAACATTGATCTGGATAATTAAAAAACAGGCTTCAAGCAAAAGCATTTAAAAAGCATACTCAATTTTAGTACCACAATCCTAAGTACAGATATAGGGTTCTGCAAAACTCATTTTCATTGCCCTACTCTGTATAGCTGGACAATAACAACCTGCAAATCCCTGTTCTCTGTCCTTTAACTTTCTGACACATTTCTGCTCAGTCTCAAACTTCACATGCTTGGATATGGCACAAACGTACATTTCTCTTTGGTGGAAAATTCAAAATAATTAGTTTGGCTTGCTTTCAGTCAGTTGATCTTTTTAAAAAATACATAAAAAGAAACATACAGACACTCTTCAAAGCTGCACTCCAAATGGTTAAAGGTACCATTCCTCATGCSTGGTTTATAGATAGCCTGGTGAAAAATTAAAAATTATTCTGAGCAATTGAGTCCTGGATCTGCTGTATTCCCAAATAAACATTAAAAACAACAATTATTGCTTTAGTTATTGGGTTCTCGTGGGAGGTGTGTGTATGCATGAAACTCCACAACTGGATTCTGTGGTGTTGTAGCTGAAGGATTAAATCACACGTGCACAGACTTYGCATCTAAACAAATCCAAATTTTATCTCAGCTGCTGCTGCACTGTAACAATGAGATGATTTTCACTCTCTGCCCATGGAAGTATCAGAGACAATTACAGCTCATATCCTTTCAATGGAACAGAAATCAGCACTGTCTTGAACTTACTGTTCACCGTCCTCAGAGAGTCCCTCACATTAGGAAATTAATTGGGATATGTTGGAAGAGCATCCTGGGAATTCTTTGATTGTTTTAAATCCTGCCCCAGACTCCTACCCTCTGAATACTACATCACCTTTRTCACAGGCAAGTTCCCTTGGCTGCCATAAAAGCAGAAGGGGAGAAAGAGAATTTTAGTGTCTTGAAATGGCTGAGTTTGCACGATGTAGGAGATAAATATCTTTATAAGGATTCATCTAATTCTGTCTTGTGAAGCATTTAAATATCCCCCACCCTTTTATTAAAACTGTATAATATGAGCATCCTGGGTACCGTGATGCTACTATTAGACTTGTGAGCTATGTCTTTATTCCACCTGAAACAAAAGTTGGAGTTGTCCTGTTGGTTTTTGGAACTTTGTGATGCTGGGTCTCACAGCACCTGATSCAATCTAGATGTGTTTAAAGAGTGTCTTCCAAAATCCCTGATTCCTCCATACTGGGGATGAAATAGAGTGGGTCCTGTAAATACTAGTCAGTGCAGAAATTCATCAGCCGCTGTGGGCATTTCCAGGCTACTAAAGAGCCTTGTGTGATGCAGCRACACAGTGATCCCACGGCTCAGTGTAAATTCAGGAATGAAGCAATAAACCCACACAGCAAAGCCTTTATTGTGTTTGCCAGCTTTTGTTCCTCAGCCTTGCCCTGCTACTGAAGTCAGGGTCCGGGAAAATGGTTCTGCTTCACTGGAGGTCCAAAGGAAAACCCCTTCCCCCAAATATTCTTCTCTCCAGGCCACACACCTACAGTTCAAAGGGTTTATCACAGGCTGTGGGGGAAGAGTTGTGGGAGAGCCCTGCTTACACTGCTGGCAAAACATCACTGGAATTAGTCTGGATTTTCACTCAGTGAACGTATGTGCAGAGCTATAAAATAGTGCTGTATGTTTTTGTGGAAGATAAATATAATCTGAGAAAAAAAGATAAGTCATAAGTATAAATCTTGCTATTTTATGCTAATTTGACTGTATTTTGTTTCCTTGATTTTGAAGAAATACCTATTCTACTGTGGTATTCCATGGGAATTTSTCAGTGTGTAAAATAGTGTGAAGTTATTGATGCATACGTATTTAAAATATAACTGGAGGGAGGAGATTGGGAAACCTTTATTTTTCATTTAGAAATTGATTCATTTTGCTCTAATTTGTCAGTGTCGTGAAATTTGTATCCCCCTTTCAGTAGGACAGTTTTTGACACTGGTCTTCAAGCTACCAGTACATTCTTGTACCCTCCTTGTTTGATAATCACTAAATGGTTTCAGTTGGAAGGGACCTTAAAGACCATTTGGTTCCAATGCTCCTGCCAGGGAGGGGACCAACCCTGCCATGGGCAGGGACACCTTCCTCTGTCCCAGGCTGCTCAGAGCCTTATCCAGACTGGGCTTGAACACTTCTGGGGTGGGGCAGCCACAGCTTCTCTGGRCAACCCATGCATGTCTGGTAATTTTTTACCTTAAAATTCTATTATACTGGAAATTCCCAATTTTCATGGTGAGAAAAAGTGTGCCTGTGGTAGATATGTGGTATGCAGCTGTCACATTTATGTATTTGGTTAAAGGGAAGGTGCTCACTGTGTTGTTCTTGAGAATACTAATTACTAATATTATTTAGGTCCAGAAACATCCCCCCGGAATATGCATCTAGAGAAAAAAATATTATAAAGTACTGGATTCAATTCCAGCAGCTTGCACCTGTCAATAAGCAGCATCAGAACTTCACAGGGTGGTGCAAGCTCACCCTGTCCACCAAAGTAACACAAGATTAATTTTGTGTTGCTGTGCAAAGACTCGGGCCAAATCTTGTAGGGAAAAAAAAAAGGAAAGAAAGAATTGCTTCAGTCTGAACTTTTGTTCCTCAGGAAGCTAAAGAAGCTCTTCAGGAAGCTGAAGGATGAAAGATCTGAGCCAAAGGAAATGGACTCCAACCAATCAAAGGCCCCTCAGCAATGGGATCTTGACTACACCTTGGAACCTTTCACTGGGCTGACTCCAGAATACATGGAAATGAGTAAGTCTTCTGACTTTCCTTTCCCTTTCTGCAGTAMCTGTGGCCTTACATATGACTGAATGTTAGAAATTGTCATGAGAAAGGGGGAAAAATACCCAACGCTTGTAGTTTGTAAGAATTCTGTGCAAGCCAGCTGGGCTGTGATACTGCCATAGTACCACCAAAGCAATAATTATGGATCCCAGTATTTGTTAATACTTCTGCTGTCAGATTCCAGTGTTCCCAGCTGAGAAAAGTGCACAGAAACCATTTGGCCACAGAATCAATAGCTATGGCTGGAAGGAAACTCTGGAGATCATCTGGTYTAACCTCCTGCTCCAAGCAGAGTCAGTCAGAGGATGTTGCTCAGAGCTTTGTCCAGTTGGCTTTTGAATATTTCCAGGGATGGAGACWCTACAGCCTCTCTGTGTAACCTTTTCCAGTATTTAATCACCCTTGCACCAAGGACTTTTTAATATTTAAAATCTCCCTACATTTCCATTTGTGCCCTGAGCCTCTCGTCCTTTCTCCGGGCACACTGGAGAATGTTTCAGCTCTGTCTTCTCCTACCTGCCACACAGGTAAGATCCCCTGAGCTTTCTTTTCCTGTGGTACAAGAATCCCAGTGCTCTCAGCTTCTGTTTGTTCTTCAGGTCCTTTGGTCCCCTAAYCATCTTAGTGGCTCTCCAGTGGATTCACTGCAAAATATCCATGTTTTTCTTCTACTGAGAAGCACAGCCCTGGCCCTGTCTCATGAGTAGATGCTGGAGAGGCAGAGGAGGAGAAAGCAGGAGAGATGTGGGTGGTGGTATAGAAAGGAGAGGAATAATCCAGCWAACCCAAGATTTTGAACATAAAAGATATTAGGAAGAGCCACAACTTTTCAATGGGCAKGGTATCTAAAACAAGACATCTGTTAAATACTGAATGTGATAACTTCTGTTTTAACAAGTCACTATTCTCAAAACATCTGAAAGAGAATGCATTTTATAAAAAAAAATAAAATTAATACCGTTTATAGTTTATCTCTCTCTATAGAAATCATCTTGGTTTATAGATATAATTTATAATTAATTGTAAATGCATATATGAAAATTTATAGAATGATAGCTTGATGTAGATCTATAAATGTGTAAGTGTATATTTGGGGATATCTTATTTAAATGTTTATGGATGTAAACCTTGCCCTCTGTAATGCCATAAAGAATCCCTCATCTCCCATTATGTCCTTCTCAATTGCTCCAACTCACCTTAGAATCTGTGTTTTAGCTTCTATTCCCTTATCCCCTCTGCACATGATAATACTTTGTTGGAAAATTATCCTTGAGGATTGATTTTTTTTTCCATGCATTACTTCAGCCTGAGATTATTTTCTTCCTGTAAACTTTAGGCAAGTCTCTTAGCAATTTTTGAAATTTAGCAATGGTAAAAAAAACACAGACACTTTTTTCCCTGTAAAAGTTTTTATGTATTTTTATGCTCAGGAATAACTCCAAAATATCTGTGGTTTAATAACCCAGATTTCTTGGTTAGCTAGTGGTATTTAAGGACAAGGACCTTTAGTTACCAATAACAAATATCTACTGGTGTCACRTTTGTCAACATTGCTCAGGTTTGCTGTCAGTGGTCTTGATTCTGCTGTGGGAAAAGTRATGCTCCAATGAGTTTGAACATAATTTCCAAAATGTCAGATTTAAGGCCACCTACTCAGAAAGTAAGCAGGTCAGTAGTCTGTCCYTCAAAAAAGAAAAGCTACAATGGGGCTTTCCTTACCCGTGTTTTGACTTCAGAGTACCTCTTGGAGCTTCCATGTTTAGCCGTTTTTTAGGGATATATTTGTTTTGTTTTAATTTAGGAGCAACTTCTAGAAATTGTCAAAATGAGTCAAATCATGGTCATTGAAATGWGTAGGTTAATGTGCTGCTTTTTTTTTTTTTTAAGAAATGCAGTAGCATGACCATAGTCTGTTAAGGTTTGGGGGTTCCTGTTCCAGGGAAGTGGTCCCAGCCCCAAGCCTGCCAGAGTCTGGACAATGCTCTCAGGTGTTCTTGGGCTGTCCTGTGCAGGACCAGGAGTTGGACTTTGATGGGTCCCTTCCAACTCAGGACATTCTATTATTCTATTCCATGATTATGACTTGCACTATCAAGGATTAAGCTATGATGTTATAAATCACTGGACACCAAGCCTGTCATTTAGATTAGTTCCTTGTGCCAAGATCATGAGCCACAGTGAGAACCTCAGCTGCAGCCATTCAGGGACAATTCAGGAAAAATGAATGGATGAATTATTRATCAGAACATTTATTTACACCAGGAAGATGAGCTTCCCTAGCGGAGAAGCCTCGCAGTGTGCCCTGCCTGTGGGATTGCAGACAAATGTGCAGCAGATGAAAGGCAGGCTGCACCTCCCCAGCCCCAGTYGCTGCCCTGGGTCTGTGTCCCAGCTCTCAGCTGTCAGATCCACTGCTCAGATCACCCACGCTGGCAGGAAGCACTTAGTGCAGCTCAGCACTGAACCTGTCAGCTGGGATTGTTGTCAAGGGCACCACGCTGCAAGGGGCAGCTCAGCAGCTTATTTCCCTATTTCTTTAATTTTTAATTGGGGGCAGTGGGAAGGGAAATGATTCAGAAGGGCAGAGGAAGCTTTCTTTTGACCCTGAATTGCTTAAAAAGCCAGGATGACTGAAATGTAAGGAGAGGTATCATATTAAGGACAAGAGATAAATCTGGCTTCTAAGAGCACCCCTGTTACCTTTCGGGTCATGTGTTTTACAAGGTCTTCTGGAGTTGTTCAGCTCTTTGAATGTTAGTAAAGGTTCTGTCAGACTGGGAGTTTTAACATGAGTTAAAATGRATTGGAGCAGTTGCTTGGTGATCCTGTTTATCAGGATTCCTTCTTCCAGCTGTCCCTGAGCCAGCACCTSTAACACCAAAACCCAAAGCAAATGTGTGTGTACAAAGCTTCCCATTAATTTCCAGTAGGTGTCATGGGAAGGAGAAATTATACTTTCCACTGTCTTGCTGACTTCACATTCCTGCTCCTCATCCACAAATCCATGAGTTTGCTGAGCATTCCCTCTGCCCCAAGAAGACACACAAGTACAGCTCCTTGTAATTTTGTCTTTTTTCAAGAAAGGTGGCATATTGAACCTTTGGGATAACAAGTGACATTAGAATGTTTTGGGCAATGACACTGGAGGAAACAGGTGGCTCCAGACTATTATAGTCACAGGTGTCACTGCCACAATTTTGACTGAGACAATTGGGKTTTTTTTTACCCTGGATAAAAGAAAACTCTTGAGGAGAACTTACAGCAGCCTTCCAGAACTTAAAGGAGATTTAAAAGAAAGATGGAGGCAGACCTTTTAGCAGGGCTGTTAAGACAGAGTAAGAGTAATTGTTTTAAATTAAAAGACAGTAGATTAAGATTAGCTATAAGAAGGAATTTTTTATAATGAGGGTTGTGAAACACTGGCACAGGTTGCCCAGAGTTGGATGTGCCATCTTTGGAAATATTTAAGGTCAGGTTGAATGAAGCCCTGAGAAACAGGATCCAGTTGAAAATCCCTGCTTATTGCAGGGTTTGGACTTGATGACATTTGACTAGATGRCAAATGATTCTATGAATAATAGAATTCATGTTTAGGTCAAAATCTTATATAATTCTTAAAAAGGGGAAAACACAAGAAGGTAAAACCTAAAGCCTACAAATCAGGCACACTTGTATTGTTTTTAGTGGCATTTTACAGATCACAGTAGTGTGGGAAGAAGAGGCCAACATTTTACCATGGCAAAGAAACTTGAAGTTTTCCTTACGGGAAAGCTCTTGTGGGTCCTTTCTTCAGTGAATYGAACTTTGACTCTGATTTCAGCAGCAGACTGTGCTGAGCTTTTTTCTTGGGCAGGCCTTGCCTGTCAGTAGCATATCTACACAAAAATTTGATTTACACAAGTGACATTTTTGATGACTGTTTTGCTATTATTAAACAACAGATAGCTGCATTTCTTAGTGGAGACACTCTTAAAATTCCTGTGTGATCAGAAAATTTTGCTGAAGTAATCCTGAAACAAAAATTGTCATTGTCAATGTGTCAAATTTGTCATTAGCACTTCCTGTTTCCAAAACTGTACAAAGGCTTTTGACCCAGCCCAATTTACCATACCATGTGCATTCCCCAAGTACGTAGCATGTGCACCAATTTCTTCTTCCACATGGTAGCAAGTTTGCAACACGTGTAACTGGCCTGAAGTGATAGGGGTTGGCAAGAAATTGATGCTCAGATTAGCAATAAATATTGCTAATGAAAGAAACTTTATTGAATTGGCTCCAAAAGCAGCAAAATGATGCACATGAATGTCTGAAAATTAGACCACTAGTATTTCCTTGAGAAGAAACTGAAATCAGCAAAAATTTTTAGATTCTTATTTCATTTGGTCTTCCCTTCTCTAGTCTGACCCCTCTAGAATTCCAGGCTTCATGTGGCAATTGATTAAAAACATTTTTCCTCAAGGAGGAGTAATAATAAAAGGTCTCATCATCCCACTTTCGCTAAAAAAAAAAACCAGTGGCACAAGAAGGAAATGATTAGATCTAATGTCTGTAGCTACTGACTACTATAAGGATTAATCTGAGAGGTTTGGAAGAATTTCCCCTAAAGCAGGAAAAGCCATCAAAAAGGCAATGTGTGAGGCAGAAAAAAAAATCRCTGAAGAGAAACCTGCATATTTCTGTAATCTCTGTAATGAGGATGGTTTTGAAAATACCATTCATGGTTGTGTGTAGGCTTGTTGCATACATTTATTACAGAAGAGTTATAAATGACACCTTTTCCTTAGTTTTTCAGCCAGGCATGGCTGTATATTGAGAAGTTTCTTCTTAGGATTTGGAAAGTTGCTTAGCACAGAAGCAGTTCTTCCACTGTTTACTTCCAGTAACACATGATCCTATGACAGATACTGAAAAAGAAGAAAGAGAAAAAGCAACAGAATCATAAATAAATACCTTTTCTTAAATTAGGCTTTGGGGTAAAAGATACTCGGGTTATTCACACCACTCAGTGTGTAAATCTTGTAGAACCTGMGTGATCTCCACCACAGAAGGTTTTGTGCCGGTGACTGATTCTGTATCCTTTACACAAGAACAGCAGTCACCACCCTTCAGATCCATAATTTAAAAGCCATGATTTGTGCTCTTAATCCTRACTTGGATACCAGAATTGGAGGGACAGGATGTGTTGTTGTTGGGCTTGGGCTCTGCTCAGGTCCTGCATAGCTGCTGTGAAGACAGGACTTCAGAGAAGGGCTGTGATCTGAGACACTTCTTTTGATGCTGTTTTCCCTTTAGAGTTTTTGTCTCGGGGGTGAGGCTGGATGAGGTGCTGCAGATGTGGCGTCAGGTGTTGAGATTATCARGGGCTGGCTCTGAGCCCTTGGCCTCTTCCCCTCTCAACTCTGACAGTAAAAGGCACCACTAGTGTGTGGTTTGGGATTTTTCCTTCATCTGCAATGGGCTCTGTGTCAATGACAGCACATCCAGGGTCCTGCTTGATGCCCCAGGAGAAGACGTTTCCCATATATTTCACTTTCCACTATACCCAGTCTCTAAGTGTTCTATTTCCCAGCTTGTGCCATGAGCCTGGGGAATGCTCATCTCCCTCATCTCCCTGGCCTGCCAGGGAAAGAGGAAAATTATGAAACAGCCTGGATGTCCAGAGGTCCAGCTCCTGGYACAGGTCTCTTTAGCCTTTTCCTTCTACATGAACATATAAGGAGCTCTGTGTGGAGACCTTGTGTATATAAATGTAAATGTGAATGCAAAAAGGTATTTAAGGGCTGCCGTCAAGTTTTCCAGCCAAAAAAGGATGTCTTGGTGTCAACTGTYCTTGATGGAACAGTATGAATGCCCTAAAAGTATTGTAAATATTTCCAGAGTGATCAAATAGGCATCCACAGAACTCCACGATGCTGAGACCAGACTCCTTCTGGGATCTGGACAGACATTCTTCTCTTTGTAATCTGTTCATATTTGTTCCCAGAAACACTGATCACACTCAACAAGTAYCTGTAGAATCCTGTTCAAAGACTCCTCCATTTAGTGATCATTTGCTAGTTTGTTTCACAATACCATCTAAAGTCTGGGTTTGGCTTTGGGATTACTTTTTTTGCCTGTTTTTTGCATCATTTACACTTTCATAAGAAGGAGTTCGCAAGGTTGAAGAGATTTCAAGATGGCCACACAAACACTTCTGGCGCAGTTTTCTATGAAGACATATTTACACAATTATCCAGAAGTCCTTTGCATATCTTGAACATTTTTTCATGAACTTGAAAAAAAATTAAACTGCATTTTCCCAGGCAATGAATAAAGGGACTACAAACAACATCAAAGCAAATGCTTGTGTGGTTTATTCTTAAAGCATTGAGAATACTTCCATTTTCTTTTTTTACAGAATCCTCCCAGCTGTATTCCTGCTAAATTCACTTAAAACCAAATAAGGCATATTTTGGTGCTAAGTATTTTTTGAAGCGTTTCAATTTTGGGGGTACCTTATTTTAACATCTGCTTTTATTTCGTTGTTACTTCCTTTTCCTGACTCTGAACATAAAATATTCAGGAAGCTATGATTTCAAGGATGGGATGTTTGTATGGTTTGAAAAAGCTCCATCTTAGTGTATACACTTTATCTCAGAGCAAAACAACGAGGATGAAAATCTAAAGGCCATATAATTGATACACAGAGATTTTACTTTCCTGTGCAAATATATTATTCCTGAGATGAGAAAGGAGAAATATCAGAAGACTTGCAACCTGTGCGCAAAAACAGTGTGTGTGAGAGAATGTCCTGGAGAAAACTCTTTCGAGGGTTAGTTGTAGGTTGTGCCAACAGTGCTGGAAGCAATTATTTTAAAGTAAAATATTGTGCTATGTACACCCCTGATTTTCACAGGAAAGTGCAATTGCTCTCTCAATGGAGAGAGAATTTCTACMGGGATTTACCAAAAAGGAAGCCACAAAGAATATGGCCTCATACACACCAACAGTTTTTTGATGCTACTGTTTTTTTTTTTAATTCTGAGATGTAGCTCACAGTCAGATTTATTAGTTTAACATATATACTATGTGTGTGTGTGTATATATATATATATATATATATATATATATATATATGTAAAATTCACCTTTGCTAAGATTTAAAGAGGAATATTTCTAAAGTTGGAGGCTATCAGTAATGTAAGAAGAGTTGAAAGTGTACAATATCCTTGGCTCTTGCATCCACAAAGATACATCTGTTCCTGCTTTTGACAGGCTGCCACTGAGTTTTTCAAAGAAAGCTGGGAAGAAAACGTGGCACCTTGTGATTTTCTCCTGTTGCTGGATTGTGCATCACCTTCCTTATAAGGAAAAGGACAGGGAAGAAAGAGCATGGATTAATCAGCTTATTATGTATAAATGCAGARAAGTAGACTCTGAACCCTTTGCCCTTTATTAAATTTATTATTTCCTTTGGCTTGTGCTAGCAACTTGAAGCATTATTGGAAACATTCGTAAGGCATGGTGACAAACCTTGGTCTCTTCATAACCCTACTTTGGGATATTTATTAGTGGGACAAAACTGGGAAGTGGAATTTTAGGGCACTGGCAAAGCACAAAGCTCATCATCAATTTGCTGTCAGCTTCTACCTTCAGAAGTTATCAAAAAACATTGCTTTTTTCTCTTTTATTTTCCAGTTATCCAGTTTGGCTTTGTCACACTCTTTGTTGCCTCCTTTCCTCTGGCTCCTCTCTTTGCWCTTCTGAACAACATCATTGAAGTTCGCCTTGATGCAAAGAAGTTTGTTACTGAGCTGAGGAGGCCAGACACAGTGAGAGAAAAAGATATAGGTAAGTAATGGAAAAGCATTGCATTGAAGATAAAACMAAAAATGCAATCAGAAAAGAAGAAAAAAATGCAATCAAAAGGAAGAAAATTTRTGATGAATTTACGATGAATTAATAAGTTCTTTGTTTTCACTTRCAGGTATTTGGTATAACATTTTGAGTTGCATTGGAAAGCTCTCAGTGATCATTAATGTAAGTGTTTGGTTGCACCAGTTTCTAACCATGATCTTGGGAGCTTACACTGTCCCTTCAATGTCATTTTAAATTGTTTATAATACATTCTTTATAATTGTTTATAATTTAGTATCCCTTCAACAAAATTTAAAAGCGAAGTCTTATTTTTCAATTGCTCAAATACAAACAAAATACAGATATATTATGTTTATTGTTCTATATCTACTCCTTAACTAAAATTTTCCTGTATATGCTTTAGGATAAAAAAAAATCTCATGCCCTAGGAGTTTAATCCTAATAGWTTCTGGTGGGTTTTTAACCTACTGATTGTAATCTCATCTAATMATTTAGTTTGAAAAAGACCTTTAAGATCATGGAGTGATACCATAAGTATTAAAAATATCAAAGCCCTTTGTAAAGGGGAACTTGAAGGGACAACTTGTGGAGAAGTGCAATTTCTTTAATAAAATAGCCCCCAGCACAGCAACACAGCACTATAATACTTCCAGAGGAGCCTTGTGTGGAGCCTTGTTAACTTCTGGCTCAGCAGTTTCCAGGATTTCAGGTTATAAGGTTTTATATATATATATATATATATATATATATATATATATATAATAATCTGTGCAACCCTGCACATCCCCATAATCTCACTGTCAGGCACAGATTTCAGCTGTCCAGCATTGAGCTGTGCTGGAGGAGCAAAATTCTGCAACTTCTTGTTTCTATCTGAATACACTCTGCAGATTTATGGCTCCTGAGTATCTGTAAAAAGTCCCTCTTCAGGTCTCTTGAAGTCTCTTCAGGCACTGGAAGGGGGCTCTAATATCTCCCCCAAATCCTTCTCTTTTCCAGGCTGATCAGTCTCATTCTCTCAGCTTGCCTCCACAGGGCTCCAGCCCTCTGTTCATCTTCACAGCCTCCTCTGGACCTGCTCCAACAGGAATGAGTCCAGAGGAGAAATCAAAAGGCTTCTTATTGATATGATCTAGAGACTTCTGTGACTGTTCCCTACATAATTATGCCATAATTTTATGGGGTACCAGTCTCATGAGAGTTTAATAGCAGCATGAGATCCTCCCATGTCAGATGTGTGAATCCTGATGGAGAGGGGAAAATGGACCTTACGTCAACAGGTTTGGTGCAACTACACCAAAATATATTCCAAATTATACCAATTGGATACTACTCTTATTGTAGAGGTTTTTTTTTTTTTTTTTAAACTAGTGATGCACCTCCTAGTGGCTCCAGGGATGGAAAAGAAATTGAGAAATGGACAGTCCATTAATTGGCTTTGCTACTTCCCTAACTCAGCCTTGCCCTGGAGAGACGGAGCAGGTTACTTGCATTTGTATATGCAAATATTCTGTACCAATTCTGGCAATATAACTCTCCCTTCACCGCCACACTATATTTACCTGAACATTAAAATTTCCCTGACTTAATTAACCTGGAAACATAGATTAATGATGCTGTTGCTTGGTTGGGTTTTTGATTTTGTTTTGGGTTTTTTGTTTTTTGGTTTTTTTTATGTTTTTCCATCTCTCAGGCTTTCGTCATCGCTGTCACCTCTGATTTCATCCCACGCCTTATGTATCAATATGCATACAGCCAGAATGGAACCCTGCATGGCTTCATCAATCACACYCTCTCATACTTCAATGTCAGTCAGCTCAAGGCTGGGACACAGCCAGAAAACTCCCTGTTTGCACAGGATGTTTCATTCTGCAGGTAAAGTACTTGTAAGAGCAGTTTGCAGAGTTAAAGGAATTTCCTTGTCTCTTATATCAGACAAAACTTTTCAAGGTGGGAATTGATAAAATTCAATTGTACAGCCACATATTCAGCAATATTTATGTACCTTTCCAAAGAGGGTTTTGAAAGTGCAGCTTTTAGAGTATTCTCACTATGTTACAAGGTCTTTAAAAAGGGATTTCCAGTGCATTAAAAGGCAAAATAAACAWTTTAGGCAGACTTGCTCAAAAAAGTCCCCCAACCAAATCACTTTCTTCATTCAAAGACACTGTTTTCATTAAAAATGAAAATGAGAGCCTTAATTTATAGTGGKTCTATCTCCCTTGCTTTGACATGCCATATATTTGACACTGATTTTAAGCAGGGTATATATCTTGCCCAACTATAACCCACAAAAATGACAGATCCCAGTTTCTTCACGGGAAACAGGGTCAACAGGGAGAGAAATCTGTCCCTCTGACTCTGGCACTGCTCTTGGGATTGCCATTGGGGAGTACCTCACCTTACTGCAGCACAGGATRGAGAGTGCACCCCTAACTTTTAAGCAATCTATAAGCACATTGTTCCCTGGGAGCCTTGCTGTTCCCCGTTTCTGTTGTCAGGGGTTGTTTGTTAGCAAAATATTCCCTTTGAGAATATGGAGCATCTCCAGAATTTCTGACAGATTTGTAAGCCTGTGAAATGCTTTTTCTACCCTTAGTTCCTAGCTAAGTTCCTACATTTTAATTTGCATCCCTGAATTAGCCAGTGTTTTCCTTCAACATGCATCTTGAACCACTTCACTGTGATTTTGCTACTTTCACTATGCTGCTTTTTACCTTGTGTCAGACACTGGCCTCTGTTTATGGTGTCTGGGTGCTGATGTATTTGGAAATGTGTGCATTAACAACAGGGATGAAAGGCACTCTTTACATAAGCTTGGCCATATAGAGCCAATATACTCAACAGAGCCTAAATACTGGGAGAAGAGAATAATCTGCACTAGGTACAAAGTGATTCCTGCCTGATGATATCAYCCATGAGACTGAAAAAAAAATCAAAAATTAATGTTTGACCATGTGTTAGTCTGAATGGGAAAGAACTTCGAGGGCATTTCCATTCTGTTATCAGGAACCAGTCAGGAAAAGGTGTCAGCATCCACAAACACTGTTTCTCATTATCATCTGCCTCATTTGAATCTTATCAAAATCCCAGCTTTGGACAGAACTATCACTGTGATAAAGTATGGGGTCTCTAACTTGTGTCCCAAGAGACAGACAACCAAACACTGCCCCTCAACTGGAAATAAAATATTTCTGTGTCTGGCAAATATGTTGGGAACAAGCTGACCTCTCTTATTCTTAGATTTCTGTGACCCTTGGACATAAAAGTGGTTGCAGTAAGGCTGCGTTTTGCTCCTTATGGGCACTGCCAGAGATTAAGGTATCTTTAAAATAACCTTAACAAGCCAGAAACAACTCTGTCATTGAACATACAGAATACATTCTTTAAATATTTAGAGCAGCATTTTCTCCAGTGCTGTGAACTCTTTGGCACCGCTTCCAAGTAAATGTTGCTGTAACACTGTTCTGATGCACAGTATTAGTTGTATTTTTTTCCAGGGAAAAATRGCATTTGGGTAGCTGAAGCCAAATTAAAAGCAAATCCTGTTAAGATATGGGATGTTTTTATTGCTTTAGCYCTTTTAGTCCTTACAGTCTTGTATGATAGTGGAGTACATAAAAACATGCTGGTCACACGGAAAAGAAGGAAGCAGCAGCTATGGAGTCATCAAAGGAACTTTTCTTTAACATGGGTCTGCTCCAACATTCAGCAAATTTATGAAGCCTCTTTGATTTACTTTTCTTAATGTCCTGGGATTTGTCTCATCTAGTCCTAATGATCAGTGGTGGATTCTAACATTTTTCCCCTGACTAATTTTTATATACTGCTGCATTGCTGAAGCACTACTTCCTTATAATTCTGGATGTTTTCTCCAATTTCTTCKCAAAGACCAGCTGAAGAAGGAAATTAAACAGATTTGCAGTTCCACCTACATATACAGATTGCTTTTTTTTCCTACCAGTCTCTCTTTTTCCCCACACAATACATTTCCGAAACACAATAGCATTTTTTCTGTTAGCTCTGGCTTCATTTCACACTCGTCCAAGCATTGTGTGGTTCTCTCCCTTCCCCCTTTTCTATTTTTCTGTTCTCCCTCAGAACTTTTTCTGTGTTCTATTCCTCAGCCACACTGACTACTTCATATTCTTGTCCTTTCCAGTGGAATTACAGTTGCTTGCTGTTTTGGAAACAAAATAGTCTTTGCAGCACTGCTTGGTTGCTGTTCCTWCCATACCTGCTGAATCAAATATTTTAAGAGTGAAGAATTGGAGAGGTGACGGAATCATAGAGTCATAGAGTATCCTGAGTTGGAAGGGACCCACTAGGATCATCAAACCCTTGCCCTGTACAGAACACCCCAAAAATCACACCTGATTGTCAATGCCTGAAGGCATTGTCCAAGAGCTTCTTGAGCTAAAAATATGGTGACTTTTGTTGATACACCCACAAGTCATACTGTCCTACTGCTATATTTCAAATGCTTCTTGAGCTAAAAAGATGGTCTTTGTAAAAGAGAAACTACCTGTAGAATATAGGGGGTAGAAAAGGCCCTTTGGAGTCCCATGTGCCAGAGAATAATTGAAAAGGGAGGTGGGGAGGAGGCTCAGCTACCTCATCTGTAGCTCAGGCAACATTTTCCTCCACCATAAATAATTTGCTCATGTTCTGTTGAATGTAGGTTCAGGCATCACAAGCAGTGTGATTCCCAGCTGAGCCAGGTGAAATTTCCAAGGGGTCTGATGTCCTGCAACACTCACATAGTTTGTGAAGCTCAGAATACATTAAATGGAAAACCCACCACAGTTGGTGACCCTTCCAGGTGAACCTTGGCTCCAATTCAAGACTGAGATTGATTTATAGTGGCCAGCAAAGTCCACAGCAAACTCAGTGGTTTTTCTTGGCTTTGATGTTCAAGCAGATTAAATTCAAGGGAACTGTTTTTGGCTCTTTTATGCAGCAGTTGTACAGATTTGAGCAACATGTGGGAATCCACAATGTCCAGATAAGTACCAGAGGAGGGGATCTTGCAGTACAGGCACAGCAAGGAATAATGTGTGAGACAGGACCTGTGCACACYCCACTAAACAAAACAAATAATTCAGGGGCTAACACAGCCCAGGGAGTRCTTCCCTAAATTAACACAGCCCCAAATTTACTCCTCCTTGTGGGCTGTACCTTGTGTCCTTTGTGTCCAGAAGGTGCAGCACAGGATCACATCCAGCATTTCAGACTCAGTTTCTTGGGGGTGGGGAGCGGCAGGATGTAGGGGATGCGTGGATTGCAAATATGTAATTTAACATGCAAAACCATGTGGGTAGAACCTGAAGGTAATTTTGGCAAGCACACCTGCAAACTGAAGCTGACAGGTTTTATATATGAACCTTCTCCATTATCCCCCAACGGAGGCTTTTCCACAGTCTAATGAATCTTACTGTCAGGACGGGTTTTGTGGTATTCAAAACAGATTTTCCCTTTCTTAATTTCATCCCATTACTCCTAGTCAAACACCGGGAACAGCACTAAATTATCCCTTTCAGTCCTAAGGGCACAATTTGCGCATGGTTATCATGTCCAACTGTGGCTGTTACTTACCAAAGTGGAGCAATACATGTGCTGCTCTTTAATCTTCCCGGTGAGTCAGCCTCCTCAGCCCTTGTACTGTTCTGCTGAATTGCCTTCAATTTGTCGTTACTTTTTTCTCTGGGTTCCTTTCTCTTTCCTTCTTTGCCTTCCCCTCCTCCCCCTCTGGAATCTGCATAGCTGAATGGCTGAATGCAGCCCAGGTGTGGATTTACCTGAGCTGTTCAGAGAAAGGCTGATTCCCACCCCAGCAGCATCSTGACTTTTGTTGATACACCCACTAGTCATGCTGTCCTGCTGCTGAATTTCAAACTTGTGCTAACTTGCTGGCCATCRCAAGCTCCAGGCTATTTCCACTTTCAAACTCTATCCCTTCAAAGATCCTTCAAGTGTTTTATTTTTAATTATTTTCCATTTCCCCATATTATTCTAATTGCATTTCCTGTCTCCATTTCTTATTGCTTTCTGTGTTTCCTGCTGTTAGCAAAACTTTCCAATTCAGTATCATCTGTGATTTTTATTAGCCTGTTGTTTACTTCCAAATGATTGATGATAATACTAAAAGCAACAGTCTTTACACCAAACCACTAAGGCTCTGTTTTATCCTGTCCAAGGCTAGACAGTTAATTTAGGAAGTGCCTTTCCCATGGCTCCCCCTTTCGTTAATGCAAAGACAGGAATCACCGAAGTGTGAGTCACATTTTATRTGGACTGAGTTATTCCCTAAATTAATCAAGTTTTAGATTAATTGAATGCAGGTTTATCTCCTCTAGTCAGAAAATGCCTTGGACTATCTCTCTGCTTTCATTTCAGCACTTCATTCCCTGTACATTGAGGTCAATTCTACATTAGGAAAAATAAAGGCGACATTTGTCAATCCTCTAAAATCTGGACATTTCCAACATTAAAACAAYGTTCTGATTTTGGTTACAACTGTGAAAACCAGACTAAGCTTGTTAAATTCAGTGGAAGTAGTTCAGTTCTAATTCTGGAGTTGTATTTCATAATAAGGGTTGAAGTAAGAACATCTGGAGGATTTGATTCTTCAGGCTTTGTGATGGGAAAATCACACTAATCAAAGCAATTGATGCTGGAGGAAATTGCTGGAACTGTGATAACTGAACTTGCTCTATCTCCAGGTTCAAAGACTACAGAGAGCCACCCTGGTCCCCACAGCAGTACGAGTTTTCTAAGCAGTACTGGGCGGTCCTATCTGCTCGCTTGGCTTTTGTGATTCTGTTTCAGGTAAGTCCATTGAGTTGCTTCACTTTTAGTCAYAGAAATACCATCATAAATGGAGTATGTTCCAAAGCAGCCCACGCCCAGTAGACAKGGAAGGGAAGACCCACAGCTTCCCTTAGCCTTTGGGAATCACTAGCAGTGATCCCCAAAATCCCCAGGCTCTCAAAGGTTTAAGTGGAYTCTGTCAACTTTTATACTCTCAGAGGCACCACTTGTAAAAAGCACATAAATGCTGTATAGGCTTGTTAACTGCTGTTCTTTACCCAAAGCAAGAAATAAACAGAAGTAATAAATCCTCCAAAGTTTTCTGCTACTTTCTTGAAGTGAGAGCAGTAMATTGTCCCCAGTGTGGAGATTTCATTAGCAAGGGATTTGCTATCGTGGCTGGCCTCAAAAATAGCTTCCTTCTGCTCTCCTCCATGATCTGGGATTTTCCACAGCCAAATTGGGCTCATGCCTCTTTTTGAAGTCTGCCTTTTTTTTGTCCTCACCTGCCAAGTGTTCCCAAGGTTTTCTGTGAGCCTTGCCTGGCTTCTATTGCCCTCTTCTGCTTCTTTGCTGTGCCTTCAGTAATTTTCCACCACTGGCTGCAAAGCAGTTGAAAGCAACTTCAAACCCTCTGCCTGCTCTGCCAGAGAACATTCCCTGGTTAATAAGCTCCATTGTCTTGGATGGGGACAGAGTTCATGCTAGCAGCCCTGTCAGCAAACTGTTCTCACACGTTTGGAGGCATTACACAACACAGCACTTTTCAAAGCATTATCATGATAATGCAAACCTCCAGARCATCACATATTTATAGATTTCACAAGGGAGCAAAACTTTTTACCCAGTCTGCTTCCTGCTTGATATTTTGAGGATCTCCTATAATCACCTTGACACCTGAGGTCAGGTTGGGATTGTGGCTTGCACACTGTGGTAGTGTGAAAACAACCCTGCTTAGTAATAGACAGGAGGATTTGAGGACAGAATTTGAGGCCAGAGAAGTTGTCTGCTGTGTGCTCAGCCACACTGGAAACACACGGGTATCTTCRTCTTGTAGGATTTTTGATTGTGTTGGAATGTCGTTGTATTAATGGAGTCTGAATTCAGTATCAAGGAATTGGATGCTGAGAACTGGGCACCTTTGGATGCCTGTAAAGAATAATGCTAGTTTAGCTACTGAGGCCATGAATTATTTGATGATTCCAAATTCTTTCCCATTTCAAGCCTAGCTGACGCACATGTTTAATTCAACCTCTGCTCTGAGGGGGTAGCTGTGCWTAAACCTGAGCTTTTTCTTGAAATAAAGCCTTACTCAACTGCGTACTACTACACACCACCAGCAAAATGTGTTTGACATCTGTCTCATAGCTATAGCTAAGGTTTGRTTTAGCTCCAGTGTGAGTATTTTGGATTTTCCATGCCTGCTTCATGTCTGTTGTTGTGTTTGCAGAATTTGGTGATGTTCCTCAGTGTTCTGGTTGACTGGCTGATCCCTGACATCCCCAAGGACATCAGTGAACAGATCAAAAAGGAGAAAGCATTGCTTGTTGACTTCTTCCTGAAGGAAGAGCATGAAAAGCTGAAGCTGATCGAAAGCTTTATCGCACGTGACAAGCGAAAACGCAGAAGTGGGACCAAAAGCAAAAGGGCTGCCAGCTTCTCCCAGTGCCACCGCAGCCCCAAGGGCAGCTTCACCTCCTTCAGCTCACAGCACACTGTGGTGTGACTCCTGAGGGAGGGAAACAGCCTCTGCTTACTGTGTGATGTGATTCTGAGCCTGGAGCAAGGAAAGGAGGGACAAGAGCAAGAGGAGGCTGGTTTGCTTCCTTAAAACCTCCAGATGTGAGGGTCTCTATTAGAATTTAAATGCTCTCTGGGCTGCAGCATTCCCAGACTTTATCAGTGTGAGATAAGGGCTATGCTGTGGCTGTAGCTGGTTCTTGTGGTGATGATGTGAGTTGGGTGGGCATGCGGGAATTCTCCTGGTAGGAACTCTCCTGGCTCGTGGGACTGCAGCCATCCCTTCTCCTGCAGATTCCCAGGGGTGCACAGGGACACTCCTGCTTTAGTCTCTACCCTTGGGCAGATTGGACTGACCCTRGGGAAGGACTGACCATGGAGAGGTGCACACAGATCATGATCTCATCGCCTGTAGCTGCCAGAGGAGGATTTGCAAACATGTGGAGTTTCAAGGAGTCACGGTGCCTTCCTAAAATACACTGCCACATGGTGCCACCTCTGTAGGACATGCAGGGCTCTGGGAGATCAGGGATCAGAAGGAATTTARATCACTGGGTGCTTGCATCTATGGATATATTGTGCTTTGCTTAGCAGGAGCTGGAGYGCACGTGCTGGTGAGCAGGGAGGCCACAATGCGTGCATCTGAATGGCTGAAGCTGCCAGACCCAGGGAAGCTCTTTGGCATTCACTGTCCTGAATAAAAAAACTAAAAACCAAACCCTGCATGTTGGATTGTCCTCTCACTTAGGCTTGGAATCCTGCCAGCGTYGAGAGGAATCACGCCACTGAACCACCAGTGTGAAGCTGAGGAGTGAGAATGGAATCAAGCCCTGTAAATCATGTGGCATCTTCATGTACACTGCACGTAAAGTAACAAAAATTGCTGCTGTTGTGATTTACTGTAAAATATTTCGCAGAACTGCCTTTCCTTGGAAGATAAACATATTCACTAACCAAGCTTTCACCTACAAGCATTTAATGAATACCTGTATTCTGTCATCAATGAAAATTAAATCTTTCTTTAAAAATATGTTTCTTTTCCCATGGATTCTGTCTCTAATACATCTTGAAACTCAGAGTCTGGATAAAAGCCTTTCTTCTCATTTTGCCTTCTCAACAATATTTTCAAAACCACAAAAATATAAACCAAAAGAAGTTCTTCAGCTTCAGGCAGTGTATTCAGGATTGCTCTTTAACATAATAATCTTATTTTACATATTTCTAAAGCCTAAGATTTCAGGAATATATTACATTAAAAGGTTTTTCTCTATGACAACTTTCAGTAACATAATGGAGATGTGAAAATAATTTTTCTTCATTCAGTGCCCAAACTAAGGTAAATCAAAATGCGAGAACTATTTCAGAGTGAGCTGAAATCTAGAAAAAAAAGTAATTTTGGAATTTTATTTAAAATTTTACTGCTGGGTTCTTCATCCCTTCCATATAATAATTCCTTCCAAATCAATAATCAAAAGATAATGTAATCTTGAATAAAATTGCAAATGTTTAACTTTGTGAGAAAAAAGTCAGTCCTCCCCAAATTTTTCCTCATTTTCCTTGTCAAAACTCCTTGCTTTGTTTTGTTGTAATTGTGTTAGGTGAGCGAATAATTTTTTTTGTTTGTTTGTTTTTTTAGAATTTGTCTCCCTTCTAGAAATCTGTGACAGGGCTGGGACATAACCTCTAATTTCCCCCCTATAAGATCAACATTTAAATGAAGGAACTGTATCTCCTCGAAAACAAATTGTGTCATTTTACTTTCAAAAGGCCAACAAGCCCTGTTGGGGATTCCATGGTCTAGTGTAYTAAGATACTCAATAACATCTATTCCCTCCTTTACACCAAGAGGATGCAATGCTGGTGRATCTGGGGATTTGAAACTGCTGGGGCTTTGGAACTGCCAGTGCTTGTTTATTGAAACTCCAGTTTATTGAAATTCAATCCATTTTCTTCACTTCAAAAAGCCTCTGATGGAGAGAAAATATGTTTCTAAACAGCAGAAATATCAATCTTGTTTTTCATAATGCTCTCTCTCCTTTCTCCAGGAATGTGGGAGGGCATACAGAAACAGATTTAGAAAGAGATTGCATGCWGGTTGCATGGCATCCTCTTTGCCAGGGGCTTGTTTGATGAAGGATATTCAAAGTTAAGGGTTTTCTTAAAATAGAGCCATTTTGTACATTCTGTACAATCTCCCTCCACCCAGGAAATACCTTTTTAAAACTGTGAGTCACTCAAAAGCAGTCAGAAAAATGTTATCCTAACACTGAGTGCATTAGGCTGTTGTTACACAGGATTTCCATAACAAGCAACTGAAATGCTTGCTGTGGTCCAAAAATGATAACGTTTTTCTAGATTTCCTAGCACAAGGAACTAGAGAAGCCAGCAGATGTACACTGATGCTCTGCAAGTCCTCTTGAGGTTTATATATTTCACCCAAACAAGGCTGGGAAAGAGGCACGGCAGCAATCCCGGCTGATGTCCAGATGGGATCTCTTCTGATATCACAAACAGGACAGACAGCTCAATTATCTTTATCTCTGATACGCTTTCTGTTTTTCCCTTAAACTTGAGAGTTGTATTCACTGAAAATTCCTGCGTGTTTGGAACTGGACTCAGGTGCACTCCCTGAGGATTGCACCCTTTGTTGCATTTCTATGGCAGCCTCTGGATTCTCCCGACACCGCTTCCCATCAGCTGCTGTAACTGTAGATCACTGATCAGGTGTTCAGTCATTCTCAGTTTCCAGCTTATCTCCTTTGGACAAAGGCAGACTTTATCTGCCCCCTTTTTATCAGCAGGATAATTGTAAATCTACCTATAGAGCTCCCCCTTGCCATAGGTTGTGTCTCAGAAGCAGAGAATGGCTGTTTGAAGAGATGTGCGTGGAAAGCTGTCCACAGGGACCAAGGGAATAGGGACACAAGGAGAGGCACACAGGTAATAAAACCTGCGAGCTRTTGTCACTCCTTGCTTCAGCAATGAAAAACAGCTAAAATCTCTGCACAGGAAAGGGAAAAAAGTAAGCAGAGAAACAATTGCATAGAAATTCAGTGCAGAATTCCATTCCATTTTGGACCACTCCAAATATAAAATGGAAACCCCAATTAACACAAACAGACAAACAAATGAAAAACAGCATGTCTGTATGTGTGAGTAGCTAACACCCCGCTGAGTACTACACCAAGTCCCAAACCTCCCAATCCACACTCCAGGAGTCATGGAGCCTCATCAACAGGAGCATTTGTARTGGCACATCTAATCAGAACAGTGTGAATGGGAAACAAGGAAAGGGAGGAATGGGCTTTGATAAAGCCTTCCCAGCGACAACAGGATGAGCGCTTGTCAGGTCAGGTGATGTGAGGTGTGGTCAGCACAAACWCATGACCATGGAGATTGCTTCTCCYTTTACCACAACTTCTCCCCTGGGCTGTTGGTGCAGGGTAGTTTCAAAGAGCTTTCAGGAGTTTTCCAGGAGAGGAAATGGACCCAGATGGAAGGAGGTCCCTGCTCCAGAGCCATTCTCTGCTCAGATGCTGTGGGTTGGAGGATTGGTCTGATCCACACAGCCATATGAACCCTCTCACTGTGCTTTTCTCTAATTTTAAAGGGGGCTTTCRGGAACTGAATGAAGCTGTGGGAATGTTGGCCTTTTCTGTTTTCTGGCCTTCTCTTCTGCATGAAGACCTGCCCACTTTTTTAATCAGCACTAGATACCTTTTTTTTTTTGTGATGGGTATCAATGGCTTTTCAGTCCTCATCTCAGGACATAGAAAACTTTGCTATCTAGACCTCTTCTGCAACTCCAACTTTGATGGCACTCACACTCTTCCATTTTTCCAGGAAGAAAAGGGTAACCTCTGTGGAAGTGTGCTGTTAAATCATTGCTTGGAAATACCCAGTTCCCCATGCACAATATTCACCACTGTTAGCAATAAACTCCTCTGACTACAGCAATATAACATCTGTTGCTGCTCTGCAGTCTCAYTCTTTAATTAACCACAGATGGTCTCTCTGTTCCCTGTCTGGCCTAATTATTATGCTTTTGAAATGAAAATATAAACCAGGTTTGTTTGTGAGCTGTTCTTTGTAGGTAAATTCCTGCACACCTTGTACTATATAAGGTGTCTTGTGTGTTCAGWAACACAAGCCAACAGTAGAACTACACTTAAAGGTAGAGAGAGGAGGAGGGTTTATACCTGAACTCCCAGTTATTACCTTGCAAGGGCCATCAGTCCGTGGTTCATCTGAAAGGCCCACAGACAACAGAGGTTGAAGAATACTTTTAACAAAAAAATGACAGCATCTTTTTCAAGGCAAGGTCTGCACCAGTTGTTTTCTAAATGTGTTTTAATCTGTCCTAAATCCCTCAGTACTACAAAAAACTCTGAATATTCCCTSCAGTTCCCATCCTTTGCCCATCAACTGTAAATGTGCTCAATTATTTATTGATTATTAAATTATTAAAGGCTGCATTAATTAACAGGGTGCTTTACTGCCTCTTTCCCACACCCAATGGAATTGTTAAAAACAACCAGATTCCATAACAACTCCCAAGACAGACTGATAATGCTCTTTATTAGTGCATAATGATCTAATGAAATGTTTTTATTTATATGTATTTTCAGTTGCTCATTGACACAATCCTGCAGTTTTACTTTTCCTGATTCTTAGGATCTCACTAACAACTCTTCTACTCACTGTGTTTCCAAGCCACTCCTGGTTCCACAGATACAGCTTTAATGAGCAAAATTATTACTATCAAAGGATTATATATATGTCTCTAATGTGGCCACCTGAGGCAAAATCCCCAGATTGCAAACCTCACTGGAATCAGTGGAAGTCTTTCTTTTGGCTTCAGTACCCCCTTGAGCCAAGTTGTTATTTTTTTTTGTTTGTTTGTTTTTTGTTTTGTTTTTTGTTGTTGTTGTTGTTAGGTTGTTTTTTTGTTTTTTTTTCCTCTATGCAATTCTGTTTGCAGCTTTCAACCAGTTATGTAGAGAAATTGTGACAGCAGTGGAAAAATGTGCATCCCCAGCAAACTTCCATTGATGTGGCCTTCAGTGAGTCCCACTGTGGAAAATGTGCACAGCCAGCAGTTTGGGATTTGACCCTGCATTTTCCGCAGATGGGATCACGCTACAAAACTGACTGGAGATTTTGTCTTCATTCACCCTGGTGTTAGGGCTGGCTTTAGAGAACTCGATTTTCATTATTATCACCCTGTGCTTCCATGTGGGTAGGACTCAAGGCAGACACAGCTAMAAGTCACTTTTGAAAGCTATGATCCAGGAATTTAAATATATAAGGGATATTGATCCACCGTTGGTTAAATCTGTGCCRTTTGTGTCACATATATAAATCGTTGTAAAAGGTTCCCTGTTTCTAATGCTGTAGTGCCTGATTTCAGTCAGTTCAGGGATGCAATTAACAGGGAAGCAATGGAATCCATCATCTTGGAAAGACTACTGCAGCCCTCCAACTAAACTGTGCATATTTGGGAAAGACAATGAAAGCTGTGCCTTTAAAACTAGCAGGAAGCTGGTTAGGAAGGTGAAACTGGGAGCAGGAGAGCAGATCCATGAAGCTGTGGGGATAATGAGRATCTCTGCACAGTTTTTGCTGTATTTCAGAGCCTCCCAGTATCATATTCCAGTCCACAGCCTTATTCTTCGCTGGAGCAAAGTGTCTCCTGCTTAAAGGGAAATCACAGGAAAAATCACAGCCCTACCTGAATCTGCCCCACAAGGCAAAGTCCATTTCTTGAGTGAGTCCTGACTTCTCTGATGCATTTTAAGCACAAAAGGCAGCAGAAATTAAAACAAAAAGCTGTGGAGTTTTTATCTGCACAAATGCACAGAACTTCTAAGATTTTCCATCCAGCACTTAAACAAAGAGCTCTCTCCTGATGAGCTAATTCTTAAGAGGATTATTTTCCCAAAGCTTTTCCAGTACCCACTTCTTTAAATAAGGGACAAACAAATACTACAG